AACCTTAAGGTGGGAAGATGGTCATAGGGTGGGAAGATGTTCACGACCGTCCCAACTATCGGGACGCAAAGAAATGTCGATAGCTGCATTACGTAAAGGTACACAGGATAGAAATGCTTGCTGTGGTGCTTGTTATTCTAATTCGTGTATCTGATGGAGGACAGTAATCTAGCTGAATATGTGACTCTGCTTCGGTGGTAACATTTCATGTGGTGACGGTGGCGTACAAGAACATGAGCTTCAAAGTGCAAGAAGTTGGTGGACGGGACAAGATCCGCCCGCTATGGCCCCACTACTACCAGAATACAAAGAGCCTGATATTTGTGGTCGACACGAATGATCACGACCGTGTTGATGCTGAGCGAGGACAAACTGCTAAACTTAGTGCTGCATGTGTTGCCGAAGATCTAGTGTAACGTGGCACCCTTGTTTGGGGTGCCACGAAACTTCACGTACACTAGTACGTGCAGAGGAAGCTTATCTACTTGAACGACTGTTAAGTAAGGGTAAAAATAGAACTGTATTCAATATAGTTAAGCTATCAATATAACTTCAGTCTTTATCTAACTATGTTAAACTACGTCGTCGTATGACGACAACCTGCTCACCACTCATTGCGCGCGTCTAGCAGCGATTGGTGGCAATCTATGGTTGATATGTCTTATATCAACCAATCTTGAAGCAGTGCATGAATAATATCTATAGAGGAGAACATTCCTTCAATATTATCCATCTCGGATAATATCGGTAGGATTTTGTCATGCTAGAGAATATCCCTATTGACACCGTTTGGTGTCAATTTCATGTAACGGGCTACCCCGTTACATCCCCCCTTAACCATCATTTATCCGTTGATTGAACCAGAATTGATTGGGACAGGTTAGCCACCGTTGGATCACTCTGGGAAGGGAGCACTTTTTGGTCAAATTCCATTCATTTGCCAATCTAACGCATGGTTTCGATAACCACGCAAGCTGCTACTGCAGCAGCAAAAAATGCGGCATGCGTGCAGTGCAGCCGGAGAGACTACTTCTCACACCTCAGCAGCAGGTGATCCATTGTCTATTGTTGTGAACAAGATACGTGGTGAGTCACCACGTGCGACAGGTACATCCGCTGCGTCTGCATTGGGTACCTCGAGTCGTGATCAAGATGAGTCTAAAATAGAGCTCATCTATTCTGGCGAGTCGGATGATGCATCCGACTCGAAGGCGACACCTCACGCTTCCGGATCACCCGGGGCGGACACTGCAAGAGCCAGGTTTGCTGGATCTGGTCAACGTGGCGGCATCATGCTCGAGATCTTCGGATCGAGTGATTGTTCCAATGAATCTCAGCCTCGCGCAAGTCCATCCAACGATAGGACGCGTGGTGATGGTGGCGATGCACCTATACATAACTATGAGCGAAGTATTTCGAGGGATCGGGGTGACACTGGTGCCAGTGCTCATGCTGACACCAATCAAGAGGCCAGGGACCGAAATGTCCTTCGCCACGCTCCCCAAGTGGATTCTCCGTGGATGCCGCCATCCAGAGAGTTGGATCGTTTGGCCGGCATGACTACCGAACGGTATCGAATCCCGTTGTTCGATTGCAGGAAGATTTGTCCACCTAATTCCATCACGGAAACTATCCGTGCTGAGGAAGAATTTTTCAACGATGCTTTCTTCAAACATCGGTAGTACAATGGTAGCCGTGTTCGAGACGGAAAAGCCTTGGTGCAAGAATGGAATGCCCCCATCCACAACATCGAGTGCATTGGCCATGAGGCATGGCTCGCCAAACTCGATGCAGCTCACATCAGGTTTTAGAAACGCAACCCAGTCGGGGCGCGATACAAGTTGCACCGGCTTTCAAGAGAGGCAGGATTACCCTGTCTCTCGTGGGGTCATTCGTGTCCAGGTTGCCTGGACAACTCGAACCGTGCCCCTAGGGAGGCCTCCCTCCCTAATGATCCCTACTGGAGGACGCGCATCTCTTCTGAGATGGCCGAAGGGATTGACACTTTGCAATCCCTATACTCACGTTCGAGGAGGTCGTTTTCCGACGGACCTTCTTCGAACACAGCGGGTGGGTCTCGTCATATTACTCGACGAGACCCAGGACATCAACAATCAGCTGGGCACTAGGTTCCCAGCTGTCCCAGGCCGGTGGATAGCCACGCCAGCGGACGAGGTAGCTCGTCCGGACGCCATTTACATCGCGGTGGTTCAAAATACGCTCCACTAGGAAGCGTTGACCACCGCCTGAGTCCACCAAAGGATGTGGTGGCGGCGGGAACACCTGATCCGGCTAGAGGATCGGATCAGCTTGATGTTCAAGAGCTGAACCGTGTAATGGAGCAGTTGCAAGATGACCTGGCTCATGAAAGGACTCGACGTTACGAGCTCCATGACCTTGTAAAGGATAATTACAATTTCTTAGCGCACGATCGTCTGAACGATCGTGCTGCTTTTGCGTTCACACAACTTGAGAAAGAACGTTTGATTCGTTCTCTTCGTGACGAGCTGGCTGTAGCTCGTCGAGACATCGCTGAACTGCGTGAGCAGGTCGCTTCGCTAGTCGACCAGACTGGATCGTTGGAACGGGACCACTCGGCCCTTGACCGCGGGGGTGTTCCTCGCATCTCGAAACGGGCTCGTACTGATAGTACGGGCGGAGATGACCGACGTATAACGCAGGATGCGTACACATCCTACGAGGCTGTTCAATCGTGTATGCGTTGCCCATTCGGCGCAACACACGAAATGGACCGATGTACTTGGGCAGTAATTTAATGCTGCCCACGTTTGTCACTGCGTGTTTCGGTAAGTTTACTTTAGACAGTAAAACTAGGTCTCCTTCATCATTGAATAAAAGAGCATTTGCTCTTCCATGTTTGTCTGCGTCTATTTTCTGTTTGTCTAGTGCATCTGCAATAGAGTCTTGAACGAATCGGACAACCGCTTCGCGAGTCAGCAGAAATTTCTCTGCTGATTCATCCTTGTTAAGAGCAGTGCGCTTCGTGTGCACTGCTGAAAGAACGTTGTCTTCACCAGTTAGGGCGTCCTCTTCCTCACTGTGGCAGTCATTGGCGATGCTGAATATACCAGCATCGTCGTTATCATAATCATCGATGTCGATGTGATCGACATCGGCATCCATCACGTCGACACCATTGTCGACGGGTGATGAGCAAGAACCAGATCGGTTTTTGCTCGAGCGAGTCCACCCCCCCCCCACCTTAAACTAGAGTCACACTCTAAGAAGGCGGGTAAACGTGGATGGCGTAGGCCATTCCCGAAGAACGGTGTATGCGTTTTCGAGGCATGCACCGAGTTGTTGATGACGAATTCCGCCATCTTCAAGAACTCACTCCAACTCGTAAACGAGTCGACGTACCATCAAAGTATCCCTACGAGGACGCGGTTGACGCGTTCCGTCTGACCATCTGTTTCTGGATGGTCAGAAGTCGACATCTTTGAACGTGTTCCAAGTGAACGGAACACGAATTTCCAGAACTCCGCTGTGAAGAGGAAGTCCCTATTAGACACAAGTTAACGGGGTAACCCTTGAAGTCCAAAGATAGTATCGATGAAGACACGAGCACAGCCCTGCGCTGTGATTGACTCGGGTACAGCAACAAGATGTACCATCTTGCTGAACCGATCAACAAACACAATAATAACAGTGTTCTTGTGAGCGTCTTTGTGAACCCCAAAGACAAAGTCCATCGATAAGGACTGCTAGCACTCTGCAGGAATCGGTAGAGGCTGCAAGGGTGCACGAGATGAAAGACTAGTCTTTACCCGTTGGAAAACTTTGCAAGCGCGAATGTGTTTGCGCACAAACTCGTACTGGCGAGGCCAGTTGAAATCACGACTTACCGTGAGGTAAGTCTTTTCTCTACCGCGATGCCCACTCGTTGGGGCATTGTGAAACTCATACATGATGCGCATTTGCAAATCATCATGATCGGGAACGACGACACGAGGTGTGTCGCCGTTGACTGCTATATAGTACATCAGTCCATCACTAACAGAATACCGTTCGGTTGAAGAGCGGTATCGAGACGTCAAGCTTTTTAAAGATTGACTGCATGGATTAGATACATAATCCACAGAGGAGACTCATCTTTTGCGTACGCTTTTCGCACGTCGTCGAGAAGATTCGACGATGGAACACTCACTGATAGTGTTGCAACAGTGGGATCACCCCTACTGTTGGGTTGAGCAGTCGGCTCGAAATCGGGCCGGCACGAAAGAGCACTAGCGACGACATTAAGTCGTCCTGGTTTACACTCGACGGGGAAGTTTTACTCTGCGAAGAAAGACAGCCACCTCATCATTCGTTGAGAAAATTGTGGACTGTTTACGGCCGTGCGTAACGACGCATGGTCAGTATAAACTATGAAGGGCTTATCTCCTAAGAGATATACCCGAAACTTGTCCAGTGCATATTTCATGGCAAGGCGTTACTTGTCATGCACTGGGTAAATTACGCTCAGCTGCTTGCAGCTGGCGCGATTGATAACAGACGACGCGTTCAACGCCGTTTGAGTCGTACTCACCATCAACGCATCAACGCGCAGCTGATCGTAAAATCGCTGGCGTCACAGACCACAAGAAATGGTCTGTCCTGGTCTGCAATCGCCAACACAGGCGATTGTATCAAGCTTTTCTTGATGCCTTCAAAAGAGTGCTGACACTCAGCTCTCCATGACCACCTCCCGTTTTTCTGTAACAGACGAGAGAGATGTACGGTCATCCCGGCGTAGTTGCGCGAGTATTTGTGCAAGTACGCCGCCAAGCAAAGGAACTTTCGAAGTCCCTTGACGTCGATGGCACAGGCCATTCGCTAATCGCATTGATCTTTTCCGGATTAAGGCGTACACCGTTTTTACCCACGATGCAGCCAAGAAGTGGTATTTCGTTCGCTGCGAATATACACTTCTTGAAATTCGTGAACAACTTTTGCTCTCGTGTAAGTGTAAGAACCTTCCGGACGTGAATTTTATGAACCTACGCGTCCGTCTTTCCATCCATAGCCCGGCTATGGACGAAGACATCGTCGAAGTGACTCGGTGCAAAATCGCGCACCGATCGCAACAGATTCGTAGCACACCTGTTGAACGTTGCAGGGGCGTTACTTAGCCCCTGTGGCATCACTAGCCACTCCCAGAGCATACCACTGGGGGTGCTCATAGCCGTGTACGGGATGTCCCGTTCACGCATGAGGATCTGATAGAATCCACCCATCATATCCATGGATGAAAAGATGGTACTTTTTGCCGTACCATCTATGATGATATCCTTTCTCGGGATCGGCTTCTGAGCCGGTACCGTTGCAGCGTTCAATTTGCTGAACGCGTGCACTATCCGCCACCCTCCTGTGGCCTTTCGCACACAGAAGGTCGGAGAGCTGTATGGGGATGTTGAATACCTCACATGACCAGCCGCTAAACGATCGGCAAAGAATTAGTCGATCGCTTTGACCTGTTCACGAGGCAGTGGCTACTGCTTCATGACACAGTATTTCGAACCGGGTTCCAGTTCAATCTCATGTTGACTGCCTTTATCCTTAGGCAACTCGCATGGCACAGATTCAGGGAAAACATCCCTGAATTCAACCAAATCCTCATACAAAGGATTTGTCTTCAAAGACTCCCAAAGTTGAGACATGTATCGATCAATCCGGGTCTTCTCGTCGAGGACACTCTCGTCCATCGATGAGCTACTGAGAACCCGTTCGATCTCAGTAAACACTTGTGCCGACTGAATATCGGCGACGTCCTCGTCCTCTATGACGAGCCCGCAGATTATCTTGGTCTTGTCACTACGCAGACCTCGCACGAATCTTTCAAATTATAGCGTTGGCAACTTGATTACCTCCGAAGCTGATTTCAGAGGTTTAACAAGATCAAGTGTATAAGCGCCTTCACTTGATCGGTCATTCACAAAGACATTCACTGTCTCGGTGATTTACTGAGAAAACACATCCGCAGGTGGTTGGGGATCCACACCCTCAACATAACTCTCTCGGGGGTTATCACTCTCAGGAACGCTGAAACTTTGTTCCAATACGTGTACTGACTGTGGGTGTACTTCCACAGTCACGTCCTCTTCTATTGAATCTCTTTCAGTCGATCAGGCTTGCTCTACGATCGACTCTCTGTTAGTCGATCTCACTTCAGCGTGTTGATCATCCTGAGCAACACTAATCTTCTCTTCTTGGATGCACCCTTCTTGGTTTGAATTCGTGTCCCGGTCTACTCGATCTCTTCGAGTGTTGAACCTTCGGCGCAGCCTGTGTCTCTACACAGGTGCCGGAAGCTGGTTCCACAGTGTAGTGGCCTTCTACACTGTGATCTTGTGCAATCGTACTAACGCCCGTACCACAAGTGAGGCCATTGCACTCACTCGTAGTACATCCACACGCTTGTGGACGCGCCAAGACGTTCATCAGATGGCCATCTGATAAACAAACGGCAGGCATCTTCACAGATCGATGCTGCCAGCTAACCCATGGCTGGTATTATCTAAGCCATGGCAGACCAAGGATGACATCAAATTTGTCATCCAGATCTAATACGATGAAGTCATCATCGTACTGCTTTCCTTCTCGCGTGTAGTGGATTCCCACTACACGTTTGTTCACTTTTACGGATGCGCCTGTAGCAAGGCACACCGTCATTCTCGTTGGAGGGAACTCTCGCTCAACATAGTTGAGCCTACTATTCCCTAGCGACTGGCGTCGAATGAAACTGTTCGACTCCCCACAGTCAACTAGGGCGCGAAGTGACATTCCACTTATCACTTCGATCTTCAAAGTGATGAGAGACTCCTCATCACTAGGGGCAGTAGTAACACACAGAGACTGCGTGTTGGGATCAATCTTCGTCAAGAGTCCTGCAAATTCTCTTGACGTTGCTGGATCAGCAGGGTGCTCCGCCCCTACTGACCCTGGCCGTTTTTGGCGGTCCGACATGCTTTCGCGGTTTAACGACATGGTCGGTCCCGCGCCTTGGACCGTTCCTCGGCCAACGGCGGTCATCACGCCCTGTCCTTGGACGTGATGCGGTGCTCGGAACACTTTACTCATGAGCGTAGTGTACAATCTTCTGACAGCGATGGCATCTTGCCGTTCGCTTGTTACTCAGAGAGCGAGAGTTCTCGCTCTCGATGTAACAGAGGTCCATTGGTTCAGGACCTCCTGTTTCCTGTCGTCTCGTCGGACGATAGTTTGACGAGATAGCCTGAGATTGTCTCAGGCTGAAGTCTCCTTGTTCCGCATACGCTATCTCCTTTTCCAGCGTATGGAAGTCCTCTCGGAACATGTAAGTCTTCACCGGCCCGTCCACAAGGCCGTAGATGAACACGTTGATAAACGTGTGCTCATCAACAAGGTTTTCCGTAACGCTACTCGCAAGGTAGCGTAGGTGTTGTGCATAAGCGTGCACGTCACGCTTACCTTTCTTTAGCCTCAAGAGTGCAGAGCATGGTCTGAAGTCGGCTCTCGGCGGCTCAAACGTCTCTTTAAGCCGAGACTTCAAGATCTCTAACGACTCAAACACTTTTGGGTCATGAAGCTTGATCCCTAAGGCCCAAGTCTTTGCTCGTCCCGTCAAATTTGACAAGTCGAAGGTGACTTGCATCTCGTCACCCTCGATGTGACCAGCCCTGATTGCGTCGTCTAACTCGACGAACCATCTCAAAAGGGAACCTTCATCAGTTCTCTTGTACCTTGAGATATCTATCTTCCAGATTTCGGGTCGACGTATGTGCGTCAGCCCGCCCATCGACGATGAGAGCCTTGCTGTTGTAGCAAGGCTATCTTCTGTCGTTCGACGGCAAGTTCCCCTTGTAGGAACTTGTTTTTATCAGCATGTGCTGGTATCTGTTTGGAGACTCCAACATGTCATTGATGGCGGGTTCGCCCATGAGCACACTCATGCGGCCGACTACCTCCCATTCGTAGTCAATCAGATGGGAGTAGCCTTCACGTGTGACGTGAAGGCTGTCCTCTTCTACGTCCAACATGTTCACCTTGAATGGATGCTAAGTCGTTGTTGGACGGACACTAAAAAGTCGTTGGACGGTCTTTAAAGTGCTAACAGGTGTAACGGCGGGGCACCCTTTGTTTGGGGTGCCGCGAAACTTCACGTACACTCGTACGTGCAGAGGAAGCTAATTTCAACTCAAACTATTAGTTTGAGTGAAAGGTAAAATGATAACAGTATTAAGCATAGTTAAGCTATCAAAGTAACTACAGTCTTATTCAGCTGGATTAATCTACACTGTCGTAGGATGACAACCTGCTCACCACCCATTGCGCGCGTTTAAAATCGACTGGTGGTAGTATTGGTTGATTTGTCTTTTATCAACCAATCTTTAATCACACGTGAATGTAATTCTTAAAAACTAGTCCTTCAGTATTATCCATCTCGGATAGTATCGGCATAAGATCATCACGCTAGGAAACCTTCCTATTGACACCTTTCGGTGTCAATATCATGTAACGGACTACGTTATTACAATGACCATATGACAACCTTTCTAGTAGGTTCGGGTGCATCAAAAACTTTCAAATATTGCGATTCTGAAAAGTTCCAAGCATTTATGAGTCTCTTTGTCGAGATTTCTAGTGTGAATAAGAGACGGTTCTCTTACAAAATCTAGCTGGAGATTTTAAAGGGAGTTCACGTTGAAATCGCTTTCATTTTCGTTGACTTTTCGTGTAAGCAGAAGTAATCAGTGCTATATATGGAGACATCGTGCGCATGCCATAATTAGTAAAACGACAAGCACTAGTAGAATGTCTTACACACACAGTCTCTAAGTCTACGCAAGACAACGGGAATTGTTTACCCTTGCAAGACGCTGACGAAACTTATGTTGTATCTAGCACAGATATTGATGAGCCGTCATTCATTTAAACATCGCCAAACACTTCCCAGATCAATTAGTTTTTGTTTTTAATAGCAAGGTGACAGCAATTTAAGCGGCGCAGGAATAGGCACAGAGCCAAGGCTGGTGCGATTGCAAGGGATATTTATCTGCAACAGCAACAACACTCATTTTCAAGTCTAGCGGTGTAGTGGTATGATGTGTGACGGGCAAAGACAAACTGTAAAAACGATCAAAAGACATCGAGATGAGCGATATTTGGGTCATTTTCAGGCCGATTGGACTCACTACTACCAAGAAGTTTGAAGCCGTCAAAGACGAGATGCTGGGAGCATTTATTATGCAGAGATAATGTGGGATCTACTCCTGTCCAAATTAAAAGAGGGGAAGATCTACAAGATGGTCTCGTCATTTTTTCAAAGAAGCTTAATAACTATCGCCCTTCACTTACTTTAAAAATATTGTCTTGGAGACCACAAAGACAAAACATTTCGCTACCAAGGGCTGGGATGCCTTATAGAGCCGTATGCGATAAAATTTTCCGCAAAGCACCGTCGTGCCTTTCTAACAGAAGTGCCTAACTGCCTATCGGCTTATAGGGGTATCAGACACGAGATCGATATGGAACCTGACTCCAAGTATGTGTGGCAGCGACGATTGTGACAATTTAACGAAGAAGCAGGTCTGATACATGGACCAGTTCTTATAAAAACGAGCCAAGACGGGACATGTACGTAATAGGATGTCGCCTCACGGCAGCCTTTTGCGTGCGTAAGGAAACATGCGGTTGGTGCGTAGTTTTGCCTACAATTAGTTAGATACGACCACCATCCCTAAAATAACAACCATCCCGTGTAATTTGTTTGTTTTAACACATTGAAACAGTCGACTACATTTCTGCATTGGGTCTCAAGGATAGTTAATCTGAGGGGCTCATGAATGAGACCGATGTAGCCAAGACGGCAGTTAGCACCCCAGTTTTTATATGGTGAAGTTGTCCGGTAATGAATTGTAAAGTGCACCAGCAACATTTAACCGGTTGTCCACTCATATTTTGTATCCACATAGCGCCTACGCGCCTCATTGCTTTCACGACAAGTTCGTTCATAGTTAGGCCGAAAACTGTTCAGGCAAGAACTGTTTACACACGCGTCATTAAATTTTTGCGTTGCAGATTCAACTGTACATCAACTTGAAAAGGTGCGTCGTCGGGGCCCCCGAGATACCTGTACTGGGCTGTATAATGAAAAAGCATGGTGAATAATTCAGAAAAGCTAAAGGATAGAAGATATTTTAGTCCCAGATATGTGAAGTAGCTGCTTTAAATT